AGCCACGTGCACTTAGATTGCGTATGCGCAGCCTGTGCACCGTCGGCAAGTGATCCGGTCAGTTCGCCACTGATTTTCGAGGACTCGACGGCGTCGTCAAGACTTGAGAAGCTTGACCCGCTTACGAGAGAGGACTTCGCTTGGATGCCTCTACCCTCGACCGGAACCTTGCCAAGGCCGCATTGCAATGCCTTAATGGAAAATCTACGCTCCTATTTGCACACTACAGTATCAGCTCCGTTGACGAACGACGGAGTAGCGGTTGTCGATCTCCGCTCCTATCTTGCGAAGATTGACCGCGAGCACGCCACCCAAAGGTACGCCGAAACCGACGCTCCTTTGCTCTATATTCGCATTCAAATCGAAAAGGCAACCTGTAGTGCCTTGATTGATTGTGGAGCGTCTCGCAACTTTATGAGCCAAGCCTTTATGGCCCGCGCAGGTCTTTGCCCACGCGTTCGAAGGAAGGCGCAACCCAGGCAAGTTACACTCGCGGACGGCCGCACGCAAAAGTCGATTGACCGATGCGTCGACGACGTTCCGGTATACTTTGCGCCACTTGCATGCGAGCCGGTGTCTTTTGACATCCTCGACACCAAGTTCGACATGATTCTAGGCATGTCTTGGTTGCGTAGCGCCGATCATCCGGTGAACTTCCACGACTGAACCGTTCACATCCGTGATCGGAACGGAGTGTTAGTCCCATGTACGGTCGCGACCCCTCACACTTCGATTGCTTGTCACGTGGTTTCCGTTGCGAGAATTCGCGACGCCATAGCTCGGAATGACGCCGAGGAGATGGGCTTGGTATTCTTGCATGCTCTCCCCTCACCGGACGGACCAGCCGCGTCCCCGCCGGACCCACGCATCACTCACCTCTTGGACGAGTACGGAGACGTCTTCGAGGCTCCCACCGGAACGGTTCCGGATCGGCCCATACGTCACGGGATCACTCTCGAGGTTGGCGCCATCCCTCCGCGTGGATGTATCTACCGCATGAGCGAAGAGGAACTCGAGGTGCTTCGCGCACAACTCGATGACCTTCTCGACAAGGGCTGGATTTGCCCTAGTTGCTCGCCATACGGTGCACCTGTTCTCTTCGTCCGGAAGAAGAACAAAGATCTACAGTTATGCATCGACTATTGGAAACTTAATGCACAAACTATAAAGAACGCCGGCCCTCTCCCTCGGATTGATGATCTCCTTGAGCGGTTAGGCGGCGTGACGTACTTCTCGAAGTTGGACTTGAAGTCAGGTTACCACCAGATTGAAATCCAGCCTCAAGATAGGTACAAGACCGCGTTCAAAACGCGGTACGGGCATTTTGAGTGAGTTGTCATGCCCTTTGGCCTCACCAATGCCCCTGCAACTTTTCAACCAGCTATAACAACTGAGTTTCGCGACTTGCTCGATCGCAGCGTCCTCATCTACCTCGATGACATCTTGGTCTATAGCAGGACGTTGGACGAGTACATCACACACCTTCGCGCCGTTTTGAATCGTTTGCGACTGGCCAAGTACAAAGCGAACCGCGACAAGTGCGAGTTCGCCAAGCAAGAGCTTGAGTATTTGGGCCACTATGTTACGCCGAAAGACATCTGTCCCTTAGCGGAGAAGATCCAAGCCATCGTGGATTGGTCGGAACCCCGTTGTACGACGGATGTACGCTCTTTCATGGGATTGGCTGAATATTATCAGCGATTCGTCGAGTCATACTCGAAAGTGGCCGCTCCTTTGTCGAGACTTCAGTCCCCGAAGGTGCCCTTCGA